GTGTGTGTGTGTGTGTGTGTGTGTGTGTGTGTGTGTGTGTGTGTGTGTGTGTGTGTGTGTGTGTGTGTGTGTGTGTGTGTGTGTGTGTGTGTGTGTGTGTGTGTGTGTGTGTGTGTGTGTGTGTGTGTGTGTGTGTGTGTGTGTGTGTGTGTGTGTGTGTGTGTGTGTGTGTGTGTGTGTGTGTGTGTGTGTGTGTGTGTGTGTGTGTGTGTGTGTGTGTGTGTGTGTGTGTGTGTGTGTGTGTGTGTGTGTGTGTGTGTGTGTGTGTGTGTGTGTGTGTGTGTGTGTGTGTGTGTGTGTGTGTGTGTGTGTGTGTGTGTGTGTGTGTGTGTGTGTGTGTGTGTGTGTGTGTGTGTGTGTGTGTGTGTGTGTGTGTGTGTGTGTGTGTGTGTGTGTGTGTGTGTGTGTGTGTGTGTGTGTGTGTGTGTGTGTGTGTGTGTGTGTGTGTGTGTGTGTGTGTGTGTGTGTGTGTGTGTGTGTGTGTGTGTGTGTGTGTGTGTGTGTGTGTGTGTGTGTGTGTGTGTGTGAGAAAATGAGAGGAAAGTTAGTTTTAATTTGGTAGATACACAATTATTTTATTAACTAACTATCTAACTAATAATAAGCCTAAAGATGTTAATACTTTCAAAAGTTCATAGTAGCAAATCTTATTGTTTTATTTTTCTTTCTTTCAATTTTGTGATAAAAATGTAGAAACCAAAGATTTATCCCATAACCTTAACTATAGGCATAACTCAAATAATAACTACATCAAAACTGAATTTGTATAATTCTTTGTATAATAAATATATTTTTCTTTTACATATTGAATTTTATTTATAAATTAACTTCAACTCTTTTATTAAAATATTGTGGCATATAATTTGTGTTATTAAATTATATTAATATGTATGTTATAATATTTTGTATTATTTAGTTATTTTAATTTAAATGTTATAAATTTAGCTAGCAATTCATGTTTACCTAGTGGTGAATAAGCATTTTTTTTAAGATAAAAATGTGAAATTAAAATATTCAATTCAATTTTGTAATTAAAATCACAAAAAATGTAACTACAACACCATCAAAAATATTCTATAGTATAACTACAATGGTTAAAATAAATTTATTTAATTATTATTATAAATAAAAATTTATTTTATAAATTTATTAATTAATAATATCTATTATATATTTGGCCCCCTCATCATTTCCGGTCAAGTTCGGCCACTGAATTTTTATTAAGCTTTATGATTTAACAGTGCCCCATCGTGGCTACAATTATTGATATAACATGATTTTTACTTTATGTCACTTAGGAAAGATTAATTATCATTTTATTGCTTTTACTTTCCTGTTTTGGTGAGTTGCATGGCAATGGTGACATGGGTTTTGCTAGTGGACTCATAAGTCACCACCATGTCCCTTCATTTTTTTTGTACATGAAACATGAAAATTTCAGGCATGGAAAGAAATGATTATCTTTAGTAGATAGATATATAGAATATATTTTTGAATCATTTTGAAATGTTTCTTTCTTCCAAAGTGAGTTGATTATTACTTAATTCTATTTGAAAATAAAATTGATTTTAAAGCGAAGAGAAGTGGTTAAGCAGAAGTAAATTTGACAAAACCTTTCTTTGCTTCCTCATTCTTTATCTTTTCAATAGAGCTGCCATGGTTATTCACTCCATTGTCCATTTTCTCTCCTTCAAAACAACCCTCAAATATAACAAAAATAGTCATAATTATATTGACTATTTTTCTTTAAACCTACAATATAACTAATTTTTTGAAACCATCAAATCCATGATCTCGTCTTTATAAAATCAGAATGTACCTTAATTTTAACATAGTTTTTCTCAATACAAAACTCCCTCGTGTCTAGCACTTCTATAACCAAGTATATTAATATAAAATTTATGAAACAATTTTGAGAATCAACACAAGCACTGGAACAAACATGCACTTAAAATGATTTTTGAAATGCTTGAAATTTTACTGGTATTTTTAAAAAAATGCAATGTTATATTGGAAATTTCAACCAAAGTAGAATTTTTGGTAGTTCAATTTTATAAGACTTTCAACGGTTAGGATTTTGTCGAGAATGGTTGTGATAACACCGACCATTTTGTGTAATCCATAATTAATTCAAAGTTGCATAAATATGAGTCATCCATTGTTGAGAAAAACATCTCAAAATGTATCTTCCTCAATTTTTGATTAAGGTAGAAGTGTACTTCAATGGGAGCTACACCTTCAGTAGAGTTTCGCCTTCTAGATGGCACCACATCTCTTGCCGCCTTAACATCCAAGTTAAATGAATTGTTTTCTGGTACTGCTAACAAAAAGGTGAGAAAGATCAAGTTTCGTGAAGATTGGATTGATACTGATGGAAGAGTGAAATACAATCTTATTAAGTTGAAGACCAACAAAAAATTGACATGACTCCAACTTAGAACGAGTACATTCTACAATATCCACGACTAAATCTCCGTCCTAACACCACCAGGTGGATTAAGAGCTATTTGAAAAGTCATTGTTGAGATATCAGTGGCTATTAGGCCCAAATTTCCTCTCATTTGTTCCAACCATTTATCTTTGTCTTTATAAACCATCCAACTCCATACAAGTTTTAATACTTTCCTCCAACCTTTCTTTGCTTCTTCCTTCTTTATCTTTTCAATAGAGCTGCCATGGTTATCCACTTCATTGTCCATTGTCTCTCCTTCAAAATAACCATCAAATATAACAAAAATTGTCATAATTAACTTTTTTTTTTTAAAACCTATAGTATAACTAATTTTTTGAATTCATCAAATCTATCTCGTCTTTATAAAATCAGCCTGTGCCTTATTTTTAACAATAGTTTTTTTCAATACAAGACTCCCTCGTGTCTAGCACTTTTGAAACCAAGTATGATTAATATAAAATTTATGAAAAAATTTTGAGAATCAAAACAAGCACTGCAACAAACATGCACTCAAAATGATGAGCCTATTCGTTAAACTACTGAAAACTGTAGTCTTGGCTTAACACTATATGGACTCAACATAAGAATTGCAAAACTAACTCTCAACACAGCTGCAGGAAGTTTAGCAGACTTGGGTTAATGCAACATATTACTCGTACCTTCAGCTGAAAGAAGATGGTGACCTTTTCAAAAAAAAGTTATTTGTGTTTTCTGCAGGTAGTGTGGTTACGAAGCAAAATAATACACATATATATAACAGGGATAAACTTAATTAAATAGTAAAATTTACTTCAAATCATAGCATTTTAATTGAATATAATATAATGGTCATTAAGTAAAAAAATTTTTTTGATAAAAATAAAATAATAAAAAAAACTAATTTAATCATTATATTAGATTCAATTCAAAAATTATGATTTTGATTAATTTTAAAAAAGATTAATCTAAAATTCTTACACCAATTTTCAATTGTTAATATGAATAAATTAAACAATCATATAAATAATCTATTTTTTAATTTTATTTAATATGACAGTTTGATTCAATCTTATTAACGGTTGAGATTTAGTGTAAGTATTTTAGACTTATAGTTGTTGTTAATGGATCCTGCCTTTATTTTAACGGTTGAGATTTAGTGTAAGTATCTTTGTTAACACTAATACTACTACGTTTATACTTTCCATTTTTGTAATATCGCAAATTGGATGCGCCTGATATATTTTTTATTTTTCAAAAGTTATTTAATCACGGTTGAGGTAAAGGACCCTAGTGATAAAGTAAGTGTTATATATTTTTTTTCTTTTTTCCTATTACAACAAGTACGTGTCACTTAAGTTAATAAATAAATAATTGAAAACAATTTAACCACGGTTTTACTATACAATCATTGTAATAAGATCTACATTTCATTGTGGTTGAATGTAGTAATCATGGTCAAAGGTTTTCTTGATAAATTTAAAACAAAACATATTCATTATTTCCTTCATAACATGTCATAAGCGAACTAGCGAACCAACGAATCAGAGACGACAACGATAGTGATAGGAAAATCTTCATCTTCACAATCTTCATTCATTTGAATCTTCATTCTTGATAGTCTTCACTATCTTCATTATTGGTCTCTTCCTCTTCGAAGTACAATATGTTTCGTGCAAACCTCACTCTCTTCCTCATCTTCCTAAATCTTGATAATCTTCACTATCTTCATTCTTGTTTGATTTTGTGGTCCTTTTCATATAAAGTTCATATGCTTTATGTTTTATTGTTGGATTTAGCAGTGAACAAAAATATTATAACTCTACTACAATGGATATCCATATACTTAAAATTTAGAGTTGGATTTTGTTGTGTCGTTCACAATATTATTGTTATCTTCAAGTGCTTTTATTTAAATGCAAGTGTGTTTCTAATAATATCAATGGTGTACAAACTGATGTCTTAGGATTCACTCGGGTCGACTTTAGCAAGGAAAATTATATGACTGAACCATTCATCATGGCTTCACAAGCAAAACAAATTTTCTATGTGACCGACCCTTCGGACACATCGGAGAAATGGTCAATCGTTTTACGAGAAAAAGACATTTCTAATAGTGATGAAAGTTTTGATATTCCTTCTATTCCTTCTTACAGAACAAAACTGCCTACCACATATGAGAAAATTGATATAGATATTGGCATGGGCAAATAAGGGATGCGGTACTAAGTATAGTCAATATTAAAAAAAGATAAGATTTACATGGAAAAACTAGTAAGTTTCTCCCATTTATTCCACCAAACAATTACATAATACAATTACATGATTCTTTTGGATAAATAAACCAAATTAAAGTGCAGAACATAGGCGTATTTTAGCCACACACTTAATTCAAATTACAAGAAGTATAAGTACAACAACAATGAAATCTTATTTCACTATGTGAAATCATCTACATGATTCAAATTACAACAAATACAAATACATAGTTGACACTCTTAAAAGACATATTTATTGTGACAGATTCTGAAACCATAAAGACTCATTGATTTTAATTTCTTGGATGCGAAATTTATTGACACCCCATACAGTTGCAAACTTTATGGACACCCCTCACAATAGGTCGAAGAATGAAAAAAGCAGCAAGAAGTACAACAGACGAAGCCCAAATAACAACAGATAAACCAAACACACTATCTAAAAGATTATTCCAAATGGCGTCTGGTGTGACCATAAAAACAGCAAATAAGTAGGTAAGAGCAAGACTTGTGAGTGTGACACACATTCCAAAAGACAAAAGCCATATTAGAACTGTTTTACGTATAGGAATTCCACTAACAAGAAAGAAAAGAACACTAAGTGATGAAATGAAACAAATTAAATTGCATACCAAAAATGCAAGATAATCGCCGCTTTTTGAAGTAGCCATGATAGCTTCTCCAGCGCATATATGATATGGCTTCTGAAACGAACAAAATGTATGGTTTGTGGAAAAGGGAATATCGTTCTTACTGACTTGCACGACGCCACCAGGTGGATTTGTGCCGAGTGAAAATGTTATAGTTGCGGTTATAGAAACTGCTATGCCAATGCTAGTCTTCATATCTTTTATCCATTTTTCTGGATCTCGGTATTCATAAAAACACTTTGATGCCCACTCGAAGAACTTTTTACCACTAGATTTTTGAGGTTTCTCTTGATGAACATTCATACTCATTTTATGGATTTGATTGTTGATAATCAATACCAGTTATCTAACCTTGCTTGAATGTTTGTTACAAGTTAGAAGATAGCATGTATATATAGATTATTTAATTTTCGTTGCTACAATATGTTTTTATTGATTTTGGTATTATGTGACACATTGACAATAATACTGCAAAGCACACTTATTTGAAGCGGGACAGAGGAGAACTAGTTTATACACCACTTGTTTGGAAAAGATTCGTTTTGATACTATATGATTGACTAAATAGTGCAAAATACCAAAATCATTAAATAGTGCAAAATGATAGGTAATACAGTGTCTTCAGTTTTATGGTAGTGATTTTTTTGAGTGAATGAAAAGTTATATCTAGTGAATTAATTGCTTAGAATCAGTTTTAATTATAACTGAGTTAAATAAAAATATACTTATGTTTGATTATACCAACCGCTTCTTAAAACAAATTAATCTAATTGATAAAGGTGTCTTAGAATCCCCTCTAACACTACTCCCAAAATATCTTCTTTCAAACCTTAATAAACATCAAGGACACATGCACATGCCTCCAAGAGTGAAGCTGTCTGGTGATAAGGCTAATACAAGGTTCTCACGTGTAAGACAAATGAAGGTTCTCCACCACCGAAAGATCTTGGTACTTGATCGAGAGAGACTCATGATCACAGAGAAAAGAGTTACAAGTTAGGTCAAGAAAGTATGCTGAAAGTCTCCCATCTAAGAGGGAGAATCGACCTTAGGAATCAAGATCACAAAACGAGAGGAAAAATCTTAGAAAAGAGAAGCAAACTTATGAAATTGCTCGAACATATTATCAATCTCATCCCTAATTAAGAAAGGACCAGAACCTCCTTAAAAAAGGAGAAATTGATCTCATCTAGTCCTGGACTCTAATTTCCATCACACAAAGCTACAACCCGGTCAACCTCAATAAGGAGAAAGGGTATTGTAAGACTAACATAATCCTTGTTCAAGAGATATGGGAAAAGGGGTGTATCTAACATAGGTTGATCAAGGAGAGGTTTTCTAAAATGATTAGAAATATGATTAACCACCTCCTAGCGAATTTCAAACACCCTTTCTACCCAAGCATCACCTACCTTAAGAGTTAAGATTACATTCCTTCTTAACCTTCTCTTGATGCAAACATGAAAGTCACAAGTATTTGAATCACCATCTTTAAGCCACTTGACTCTAGCTCTCTAAAAACGCAGGGCATATTTAATTCAAAGAAGATACTAGATATCTGACACGATCTTATCCCTAGAATCATTCTCCCCCACCGAAATCCCACCCCGCTCAACTCTAGCATTCAAAGAATTTACCTTCTCCCTTAAGAAAGCAATCTTAGAAGCAAGGTCCCCGAAAATTTGATGATTCCAAGTTTCAAAGCACCTTTTAGGTCTTTAAGCTTCTCTTTCAAAACAAATTTTTTTTCCAACCAGAGATATGGAAACTAGACCAACTACTAAGCACCAACTCATAGAGTCATGGATGAGAAACCTAATGGTTAACTTTTTGATGATCCTTCTTGTCCAAATTCGCTGACATACACATGATACAAGTGCCACAAACTCTATTCAATTGGTAGTAATGTCACATTTACTTGTTTCTTTGAGGACCAAGATATTGTACCTAATATTAACTTAAAGACATAACGGGAGGTACTTTTTCTATCATTATGATAACCTACATAATCATAATACGACCATCCAAGAAGATTTCCTCAATTATCCTTTTCATAAAAAAACCTCAGAGTTCAAGGTTCCATGCAAATACTTGAGATTCCTTTTGGCTACTATAATTTTTATATCAGTTTCCTTCTCCATTACCTATAAATTAATTATACAATATAGCACAAATCATATCTAGTTACAAGTAGATACATGAAACATCCCACAATTTGTTCTTTTAAAATAAATTTATCTCTTTTAAAATTTTTGATGCGACTGACTTGATCTTTACAACGATTCATGAGATCATTCATACATAAAATAAAGTCAGAGTAACCTCATCTTCGTCTTCAGACTCTATTTCAGATAAAAGTCCTTCTTCAGATGTGTGAGTCATCAGCGTCAGATTGGCTTCATCTTCTTTTTTTGAATCTTCATCTTCTACCTCTTCCCATGTTACCATAAAATTATTCTTAAACTTGTTCCTGAAGTTATCCTTCTGATGACTTCCTTTCTTTTGACTATCTTTCTGAAAATCAGGACAATCCACTTTGAAGTGACCAGGTTTATTGCAACTGTAGTGTAACACCCCAAAATATGCTCTCCCTTTTTGTTAACCTTTTTGGCTTATGCTTCATTTCATTTGCATCTTCATTTATGCATTGCATTGTTCCTAAGGCATGGGATCAAGAGTTCTTGACTTTTCTCAAGAGGAGGAGATGGTTCTCAAAGAAATTAGTAAGGAGATAATCTTAACATCATATTATTATTGAGTTACAAAGTCCTTGTATTCATCAAGGAATTCTCAACAATCTCACACAATCATCTGGATTAGGGTTTTCAAGCATTGAACACCTTCTCATTTCTTTTGTGCCTGAATTAAGGTTTTGGTCCAAGATAACTTATGGTTATCTTCTTGAGTAAGGCAAGATTCTAGAGCTCAATACACATCTCAAGGGTTCCCTATATGTATCATATTTCGTCGCAAGTCATTGAATAGGCCTCAGTCAATGGAAAGTGGATTAGGGTTTCATCTGATCAAGAAAGTCAATTGTGGCCTCACAAAGTCAAACTGTTGAGTTTGTGGTCAATCATGGGAATTTCAAGTCATCGCAAGTGTTATTATGAGGTTTAATCAATAGAAATCAAGGAGAATCATAAAATCAGGAAAGTTGACGAAATTAGGGTTTTGTTAGATTTTTTCTGTGTGAAAATCAGAAACTCTAGCTCTCTTGCAAAGGTCATATCTCACTCATCCTTGGGCCATTTGGTGCAAACCAAAGATAAAATTGGAGAGGACATCATGAACTACCAGTTTGTAAAAGAAAGCAAGTCCAAAAGATGTCTACGTCAAGAGTTATGAAGAGTTAAAGTTGGGGAAAAGGTGAAATTCAAGTTTCAACACTTGGAATTTTTTCTAAATATAGAAATTCAGCTTGAGGATCATGTTTTCAAGTCCATTTTCCTTGATGATCCAAGTTCAATATCATTTTTCTTCCAACATCAAAGTTGTTAAGCATCTTCCAAGCTTTCCAATGATGCAAAGAACTCATCATCTGGACCCATAGAGCTCAAATTATGATGCTGCAAAGTCATGGTCCTAAAGTTGTCAAACTTAGCTAGTCTTTAGACAGATTTTGAAGCTAACTTCAAGGGCAATTTCCATCATGATCCAAGATTCATATCAATTTTCCATCAACATGAAAGTTATAGGTATTGCTTCAATATTTTCAAGGATTTCAAGGACTCGTCATTTGGTTCATTGTAGCTCAAGTTGTGATACTCCAAAGGCAAGGGGTTCAAGTTGTCAAAATTAGTAACTTAGTGAAATTTTGCTAAGTGTCTTGTGACATATTTTATGCACAACTTCAAGTCCTTTTCTCACATGATTCTAAGTCTCATTTCAACTTGTTTTCAACATCAAAGTTGCTCACCATTCTTCATAATTTCTTTTGATCTCAAGAATGCATTGAGTTGACCATTATTTATCAAGTTATGATCATTCAAAGGGAGCTATATGAACATGTAGCATTATGCATCATGTCATGATTTCTTGGCATATTTTGAGTTGGTCATGCAGCATGACCATTAGGAATTAACTTTACACGCATATGACATCAAAACATTTACAAATATGCCTAAACCAAGCCATGTATATCATGCACCCTCAGGTTACTTTTTTGCCAAAGTAAGAAAGAAGAAAAGCTGCAAACATTGCTTCACAATCCTTCCTCCCATGTGCCATTATCTTCACACTAACTTCATGATCTATTTTCACCTTCCAAGCCTCATGCCAAAGCTGAAAACAAGCCAAGAACACTCTAGAACTCGTGCCACACATGTGCTTCATTTTCCACTTTTCCATTTTCCAAACCAAAATAACAACTTATGAACCTTTGCTTTGGATCCAAACCTAAAAAGCACCTCATATAAAACTAATAAATCCAGACCTGAGCCTCGTTCACTCCATTTAAGATCTGAGATTCAAATTTTCTCCCTAAATTTCTCATATTCGAAGCTCATTGTTCAAGAGGATTCTCCATAGTTTCTGCTTGAATCCATCCTTCTCAAGGATCAACGAATCATTTGGAAGGGATTTCTGAAGTTGTTGAGCGTGGATCAAGATACAATGGACATAACTCCACTAGGTAACTTTCTCAAACCTGTTTTTCAAGATTCGCACGTGTTTAGAGCTTGTTTATATGTGTCTGAAGCTCTACTCATTGTAGGCACTGATTGCAATGGTTGCTGTGTTGTTTTGGATGAGTTTTAATTTTGATGTTTAACTTTCGTGCCTTGATTTAACCATGTTAACTTGTTTAGTTTTTAAAGCGGATGTTAGATTTGAACTCAACATGAAAATTGGAGTGGAGTAGTGGTTTTGTCCTTTGATTCTGGGCAGGGCATGGTGGCTCCATCTACCAGCTTGCCGGAGAAGACGAACGGAGTTATGGCTCCGGCGTCTGGAGGTTAGGGACGGGCTGACATGTCATTGGCGCCCTAATTTGAATTCAAAGCAAATTTGCGCGTTTTCATTTTAATTTGCCTACCTTGCTGACTCAATGTCAGGTCAATTAATGAAGCCAGCGTTGCTGGCTGAGTGTGTTAGGGTTTGGACTGGGCTTGGCCTTTCTGCTTTTCCCACCCCTTGTTTATGGCTCAACGCGCGTGTAAACATGAATCATGGTGTTTCTGTTTTTACTCTTGCACCCTCATGACTTGTTATTTTCTTTTTATTTCCCATTTGCTTTTTATTTTAATTGTTCCAATTATTCTAAAAATGATTGAAAATAGGTTTCTGACTAATTGATGTCTTGAGATACT